TACCATCTAGATAAATATTTATAATTTATTTCAACTGTGTTTATATTCATCACCCCGTGCATTAACTTAAACATTTAAATCTATATTGTTAAGGTGAAATAGAGTACAAATCCTATGCCCATTACATCCTGCCATGGTTTCCTTCACTCCTCCCATCCCATAGTTCCCTATCCCTTAAAAGCATCAATTAACAGTGCAACGTTCTCTTGTCTTGATTTTTACATGTGCTGTCCAACCATAAAACTACATCTGCTTACATTCTTAATAGAATTTTTGGTTTACCTGTAAAATCCTTTTCATGGATAAAAAGTTGCTGTGTCCTGTGATGTACTCCATTATTGATAGGGTTATGCTGCCACCTTCAGGTGATTGGATATTGTGGGGGGTATTCCCCTCTCATGCATAACCCCTCCAAGGAAGAGGGATCTGATCAGGGCTGTGGATAAGGGGGTACCACCAGTCCTATACATGGGGCCCAGGCAGCTAGGTGAATCGGATATGGGCAGGGAAGGTGATCGGCACAGAGGGGAAGGTTCAATTACTGGAACCGACCCCCTGTATGGTTCTTTCTGCAGCAGCTGAAAGCTGGCTTCTTCTTCTCTCCCGCCCGCTGGCTTTCAGCTGTTGCAGAGAGATCAATATAGGGGATGAGTTCCATTAATTGACCCCCTGTCGCACTCATCACCCTCCCTGTGCACCATATGTTTCCCCCCTACTTCCCAGGCCCTCCTGTGTGCCCCATAAGTGCTGCCGGCTTCCCTCCTCTCCTTCCCACTGGCAGCTGCAAGCAATCAATAGGATCCTTAAGGCTAGAGAGTGGGGGAAGGGTCCAGTAAATATGTCACATTTACCCTTTCTTTCCTGATTGAATATAATGAGTGATTGTTACTGCTCACTCACTGTGTTCATTCATAACTAAAGCATAGTAAGCTGTTTGTGGGTTGTTTTTTTTTTTTTTGGGGGGGGGGGCTCTCATGTTCATTGTAGGGGGCCCCGTGGTTTCTAACCGCAGCCCTGGATAGGATATCTGTGTCCCATGGTGTGCTTCAAGAAAACAAATTTTACAGGTAAACCAAAAATCATTTTCTTTATCATACATCATGGTCATCTCCATTTCCATTAGGATTATGATTGCACAAAGCCCTGAATATGAGGGAAGGGCAACAAGTCAACTGGCCCCACATAACAAAGCAAAATAGGTCAGAACCTCACTCACACTGACCAAAGGTAGCTGACCTTAGTGGCTCTAACATACACTTGGTAAGACTGGCCATACATTATACAATTTTCTTGAGATTTTTTTGTTTAGATTTACCAAAAACCATATAATAGGAGGTCAAACCTAACAACACTTAGGCATCCAATTAGTCAGGCTCTTGCACTACATAGTTGATGGTAAATCTAACGGAAATTGGGCAGAGAAAATTGTATAGTGTATGGCCAGCCTAAAAGTATGAACCAAAGACCAGGTAGCAGCTTTATTCATAGCTTCTATGAGAAGTCAAACGTGTTTGGGGCTGCCTTGGCAGCGGATGGACTGTGCATGTTTCTGGCTTTCAATCAATCAGGAATTGGATTTATGGTGAGTGGCTCTTCCTCTTGTCTTGGAGTATTCAAAGCTTTATCTATTCAGTGACTCACGGAGGAGCGCCAGCTCCTGCAGGGTAGCATTGTCTGTTTATAGTATATTGTGGCTTCTCTTTCCTCTGTTGATTGCATTTATTCTCACTCGCTTCCTCCTGGTGGTCATTCAGCTGTGCCATTAGCCAGACCTGCCTCATACTTCCCTTCTTGAGAGGATTTTTTTGCCGCAATGTCCAAGTTCAGAGCAGAATTTCTGGCCTTACGAAGGTCTTAGACCGCAGGGGTCACAGCCATGATTCTTCAACCTCCCCTTTAGCTTGGCCAACGCTGTCTTTTCCAGTACTGTGTCTGGCTCATGGGCAAAAGAAGAATCTCCACTTCTGAGGCATCCGATCAAGATGATATGCCTGCTAATGTCATTTTCTTTTAAATTCAAGGAGATGATCGCTATGGTCATTGAAGCTGTACACTCCTGTTTAGTCTCAGTCTACTCCCCCAAAGGTTTCTAGGTATGGGTTCTCCAAAATTCCCTACACCTTTCTGGTCCACACTTTGATGGAGCCTGTCCTGGATCGTGACTGGCCTCATCTAGAAAAAATGTTTTCTCCTCTTAAACATGTTGACCAACAATATCCTATTGAGGAAAGTTTCCTTAGGATATGGGCTAATCTGTGGTGGGTCCAGTATTTCCTGAACTTGATCTTGGTTTTTTAAAGACATTGTAGATCAAAGATAGGAGGTCCACCTTAACCACTTGCTCTCCAGAGGATTTACTCCCCTTCCTAACCAGGCCATTTTTTGTGATATTACGTTGTGTTACTTAACCTCCCTGGCGGTATTCCCGAGTGTAGCTCGGGGTAAAGTTTCAGTACCACAAGCGGTAACCCCGAGCTACACTCGGGAACACCCTGCAGCGCTGCTCCGGGATCCCTCAATCACGAACCTTGTCCTGCGCTCCCGCGATGTCCCTCCTGCAGTGTCCCCTGTAATGTCCTCCGGCGGATGCTGGCATCTGTCTTCTGGGTTCCGGTCCCTGCGAGCGTCGGGGCGTACGGGGAGGGACCTGGCGGGAAATATGAAAATGACAAAAAGTGACATTCACTAAATACACTAAAATCACATAGTAACACATTACTGTATCAAACCATTTCACATAAATTTTGTCCCTAGTGCTTTGTCCTGTGCCCTGCCTGCATTTTTACTGTTCTTTTTGCCTTGAAACTGAGAAACGTCCATGGTGTCCAAAAAGCATCCCTTTACGTCAAAAGCGGTTTGAGACCAGCTAGAGAACAGCGATGGTAAATCAGAACCACTTGCAGAATTGAGTGATAATGATTCGTGGGGAAATTCGTCATCAGACACTGAAAACGATTCTGTGACTTTGCTCAGTGATGTGCGAACTTGGCACTATATTTAAAATTTCAGTGGTTTTGGTTTGATTATATTATTGAATTAAATTTATTATTATAATATTTTTTGATTATTTATTAAATTATAATTTAACATACCCGGGATGTTTACTAGACTCTTGTTTGGACAGATTTCAGTGAGTTATTCCTAAAGATTACAGGACTACAGTAAAAAAAAAACATATTTCCATGCAAAAAAATGTACCGCTTTGAGCACAGAAATATGGACATAATCAGACCGCTAAGGAGGTTAACTGGCAATTGTGCGGTCATGCAACGCTGTAAATAAATTAAATTTGCCATTTTTTTCCCACAAATAGAGCTTTCTTTCGGTAGTATTTGATCAACTCTGCCTTTAATTTTTGCTTTATAAACAAAAAAAAGACCGACAATTTTGAAAAAAAAAATGTTTTTATTTTCTGCTATAAAAACATATCCAATAAAAAAAAATTAAATCAAAGTTCTTCATAAATTTAGGCTAAAATGTATTCTACTACATGTCTTTGCTAACAAGCCCCTGAAAATGGAGGGACTGTGTATAAAAATGGTTGCAGTTCCTAAAATTTGTGCTTAATATTTATGTTCAACTCCTTGAATTAAAGCTAAAAGTCTTCGAATTCATTTCGATTGTTTCGTTTTAATTTATTCTGGCGTCATACAGAGCCAAAACTATGAAAATTGTGCCTGTGTCCAAATATATATGGACCGAACTGTATATCATACCCCATAACTTTCGCACAAACCAATTAAACTTATTAGGATTTTTACTGGATATATTTTATATCGGGAAGTAGAGAATATCATTTTTTTTCTGTTTTTATTTCCTTATTTAATATAATAAGAAATTTAAAAAAAAACCCAGTGGTAATCAAATACCACCAAAAGAAAGCTTTGTTTGAGTGAACAAAATGTATTTATTTCAGGTACTTCTATAGCGCTATCAATTTATGCAGCGCTTTACATATATATTTTACATTCACATCAGTCCCTAACCCTCAAGGGGTGTACAATCTAAGGTCCCTAACTTACATTCATACATACACATACTAGGGCCAATTTAGACAGGAGCCAATTAAGCTACCAGCATGTTTTTGTAGTGTGGGAGGAAACCCAGGCAGGCACAGGGAGAACATGGAAACTCCAGGCAGGTGGTGCCATGGTTGGAATTCAAACCAGTGACCCTAGTACTGCCAGGCAGAAGTGCTAACCATTTAGCCACTGTGCTGCCATAAATTTCATTTGGGAATAATGTTGCATGACCAAGCAATTGCCAATTAAAGTAGCAGAGTGCTGAATAGCAAAAAAAAAAAATACTCTGGTCATTAAGAGATAAAACCTTCCAAAGCTGAAGTGGTTATATATTGCTTGGCTTATAAAAGGTGTGTTTTCTGTCATATTTCAGGATATCAGAAAAAAAGTTGCTCTGTCAGTAAATTTTTCTTGCGTAGTCAGTAGAAAAAAAAAAAAAAGTAATGTGAGGTTGGCAGCCCTGGGCTTAGAGGGGCATGCTGACAGTGGAGACATCAAGGGCTGGATGTGGCCTGGGCCTGGGTCTCAGATCTGTGCTATGTAACATACTCCAAAGGTAAACGTAGGAGGAACTCTGTTGAGGTTCTGCCGGCTACACACATTTTCTGAAGAACAATTGCAAAATTGTGTATTTTCTGAATGCATGCCATTGCTGCCATCTTGTGTCTCTCATGAGCTACTAGGATACAAGACTGTATATCTATCAGACTGGGTTCACATATATGCGGTGCGGTATATCACATGTGATTCACACAGGAACCGCACCGCATTCCTGTACAAATCACATGCGAATTGTGTGCGGTGCGATTAGAGCCATACATTCTGTATGGCTCAAATCGCACAGCATCCGCACCGAAAACATGCAGGGCCCTTTTTTGGTTCACACTAGAATCGGATTGCATGGGTATTCACACCAATGAGATCCAATTCTGCATATCGCACCGCATTTTGCGGACCGCTTCGGGGTGTTGTTAAGTTCAGGGGCGGACTGACCATTAGAGCACTCGGGCACTGCCCGAGGGCCCGGGGTCAGTAGGGGGCCCCATGACATGCCCCTGGTACCTTTTTTATAGGCTTTTTTGAGTGTGGGCAAGGACACGGGCCCCATGATCCCCTATTGCCCAGGGGCCCCATAAGGTCGTCAGTCCACCCCTGGTTAAGTTAACATACATACCAGCAGCGTTTCGCATGAATGGGGTGCAATTGTGATGTGGTGCAGAATTTGCACAGAAAATGCTGCGAATTCCGCACTGCATCAGTGTGAACCCGGGCTAAAGGTTCACAGAAACCCTGAAACTATTTTAAACTTATGCAGGCCATACATGGTTCAAATTTCGAACGATTTTTTGTCTGAAAATCGAAAACATTGTTCGCTTGGTAATCCGATGGTGCCATCAATGATTTTTAAAATCGTTCGACCAAGTCATAAAGTTCACCCCATATAACAGGCGAAACTTCTGTTCCTTCCAGGTCACGGCTCATGCGCATATTCTTGTTGGAAAAACAATCGTATGATTTGACCATTGAGTCAAAAATCGGTCGTTTTTCACATATTTTCCAACATGCCCTGTCACCGAAAAGGGGTGGAACCACGAAAATCGGCCAGTGCCATTGCCCCACTAACAGAGCGATTATTCTTGGATCTGATTTTCGGATGAAAAATCGGTCGAATTTCGACCCATGTATGGCCAGTTCACATCACATGAAGTCCAGTGTGTGTGTGTGTTTTTTATACATCAAAAATGCATGCATAGTAGGTTATATGGTTTCCAATGGCATAATTCACACCAGTGAGGTCAGTTCCAAAAAAAAGAACATGCTGCATTTTTCCTGCACTGGGCTGTAGTAAAACGCATCAAAAATGCATTGGACCCCAGTACAATGAGAACAGGGCCAGTTCACATCATATTATACCAGGGGTGGGCTGACCATTTGGGAACTTGGGCACTGTCGGAGGGTCTGGGGTCAGTAGGGGGCCCCATGAGATGCCCCTGGTACCTTTCATAGGCTTTTTTGGGTGTTGTTTGAGTGTGGTCAAGGATACAGGGGCCCCATGATCCCCTATTGCCCGGGGGCCCCATGAATTGTCAGTCCGCCCCTGTACTATACTATACATGATCTGTTCTGATTTATTCCACTTTGTGACCTGTATAGATCTGGGGATCTCGAAGCAGTGGGGTACACCTGACCAGGGGCGCACTGACAACTCATGGGGCACCCGGGCAATAGTGGATTATGGGGCCCCTGTGTCCTTGCCCAAACTCAAAAAAGTCTATGAAAAAGGTACCAGGGGCATCTCATGGGGCCCCCTACTGACCCCGGGCCCTCGGGCAGTGCCTGAGTTTCCAATTGGTCAGTCCGCCCCTGCACCTGACACCCTGGACAGTAATTGTATACAAAGTGTAAAGTGAAAGGCTGATCAGAGAAATACAATGGAGCGTTCACAGACTGACCGGATCTCCAGGTTGCTAAGCAACACGACGCCGTTTCCAGGCAGCCTGCAGTGTTTCTCCTGACACGTGCTTCCCAGTGCAGAGCGGTGTGATGGCTGTCAGTCCACACACAGGAAGTCACCCCATGACCAGCACCACCGTCTCCGGAGCCCTGACAAGGCAGATGACAGGCCTGGGACTGAGATCCTTCCCCTGTGCTCCTGGACGCTGGGTAACCATGCCTCCCTGTCTGTGTCCCTTCTCGTCTCTATGGGCTTCTATGGGCTGCATGCATATACAGGGAGGGAACATCTAATAATTAAACAGCGGGACAAAATATCACATATATCTAACCTCATCCATTTATGTCACATCAACAAGTGTTGCCTTAAAGCAGAAATCCTAGAAATGTTTGTTTTGGGGCCCCCATTGCATGGATTGGATGCTCGTTTCTTCTAGGGGTGAAGACTAAGCTCATACTTACCTGACCCGCCGATCCTACGAAAAACTGCGCTCCCCCACGGCCCAGTGGTGGACTGTTCCTGTCTGTGGAGCAGCCCTTGAGTGTGCTGATAGCAAGAACAGTCCATTTACAAGACCACTGGACTGGGGGGGACAGGAGCCGAAAGGAGCGGTCTTGTGCAGGTCAGGTGAGTATATCTCCAAAGTCCTCTCCCCGAGCAGTTAACCCAGACAGGGCAGGAACAGCCCCACTGCAAGGGCAAAGAAAACTGCCCAGAATTCTGCTTTAGGGCCAGTTCACACTACAGTACATGCGTTTCAGTCGCTTTTTTTTTTTTCTGCATCCAAAACGCACAGAATGTAGGTTATGTGGTTGTCAGTGCCATAGTTCACACCAGTGCTTGCAGTTCCTGTGCGTTCCGGTTGCAGAAAAAAAGTAAAACATGCTGCGTTTTTTCTGAACCCCACTGGAACGGTAAAACGCCCCACTGGAACACACTGGAATGCATGAAAAATGCACATGTACTTATTTTTCATTGAAGAAAAAGAGAGGGGGGGAAATAAACTGGAATGCATAAAAAATGCACTGGAACAAATGCATCAAAAATGCACCAGTAGGTGCCAAAAATGCGTCAAACCATGCATGCAGAAACGCATTCAGAGTGCATCTGGAATGCGCTTCCATAGTGTGAACTAGGGCTAGTTCACATTAGATGCAGTCCATTGCGTTTTGTTTTCTGCATCAAAAATGCATGCACAGTGTTTTCCATGTATTTCAATGGCCCTAGTTCACATTTCAGTCAGTTTCTGGTGCAGAAAAAAAAAGTACAACATGCTGCATTTTTTTCTGGACAGAACTGTACTGGAACGTGGCAAACTGCATCAAACCTGCATGGGAATGGAGTGTGGTGTGAATGCATCCACAGTGCTTTTTTGTGGTGTGAACTGGCCCTTAAGGTTTTGCATGCTTTAATATTTGCCACAGCTAAAAAAGGTCATGAAATGTAAGCCCTGTCATTTTTTATCTTGCCATCTGTGTCCCATTGGGGAGCTTTCCTGTCACTTTCTTCCCATAGCCAACACGGAAAGTGAGAGGAAATTTCTCCAAAGTGAGGAAATACCTGGTAGTCACCAAAACAAATGTCCTCATTGTAAGATTCCCCTCTAATACTGTTCCGGGGACAACCCAAAATGTGGGATTTTCTTTCACTTTCAGTGATAAAAGTATCCAGGTTGATTCTCCCTAACCCCAGGTTCACACCTAAGCGTTTTCCAGAAACGCAGCACAGCCCATTTAACATGATTTCCTATGGGACACATTCACATCTCCGCGTTTTCACCCGATGCGTTTTTTGGAAAGGGTCAGGGACTTTTTTTAATGCAAAAAGTAGCATTTTTGGTTCTATAGACTTCAATGGAAATGCTATAGAAAAGCATGTAGTGCGTTTTTGATGCATTTTTGATGTGTTTTGCATTTTAAATCTGCCTAGCAACAAGAAAAATAGAAAATAAAACGCATCAAAAACACAGTAAAAATGTAGATGCAAAAACGCAATGCAGAAACGGCTCAAACACAACCTGCATAGGTGTGAACCTAGCCTGACAGGGGACACAGACAGCAATAAAAACTGACAGGTGTGCTAATCCATCACCACTCTATCCAAAACTAAAACTTTAGTTACACTTTAAGGTAGGCCATTGATATCCCTGGGCTTAAAATGCACCATAAAGCATTCTAAAATGTGGGCATGTCAAAATCTTTGCTGCAGCATTGCGATATTGTGTATCAGCATGTATGCGTTCCTGGTTCACACTGATGCGGTGCGGAATTCGCACTGAAAACGCTGCAAATTCCACACTGCATCAGTGTGAACCAGGGCTTAGGGAACCATCCTTGTACTTCAGGAACGCACGCACGCTGTTAACAATATCGCAATGCAGCAGCAAAGATCGCAGTCGCATCCCGTTCACACGGACCGATGCGGGTGTGTATGTTAACGACACCCCCCACATCGGTCCGCAAAACGCGGTGCGATGTGCAGAATTGGATCACATAGGTGTGAATACCCATGCGATCTGATTCTAGTGCGGACCAAAATAGGGTCCTGCACATTTTTGGTGCGGGTGCGGTGTGAATAGAGCCATACAAAATATGGCTCCAATTGCACCGCACACAAATCGCATGTGATTTGTACAGGAATGTGGTGCTGTTCCTGTGCGACTCACATGTGATTTGTACAGGAATGTGGTGCTGTTCCTGTGCGACTCACATGTGATTTGTACAGGAATGTGGTGCTGTTCCTGTGCGACTCGTGATTTGTACAGGAATGCGGTGCTGTTCCTGTGTAACTCGTGATTTGTACAGGAATGTGGTGCTGTTCCTGTGCGACTCACATGTGATTTCTACAGGGTGGTACTGTTCCTGTGGTACTGTTCCTGTGCGACTCACATGTGATTTCTACAGGAATGTGGTGCTGTTCCTGTGCGACTCGTGATTTGTACAGGAATGTGGTGCGGTTCCTGTGTGACTCATGTGATTTCTACAGGAATGTGGTGCGGTTCCTGTGCGACTCACATGTGATTTGTACAGGAATGTGGTGCTGTTCCTGTGCGCGACCCGTGATTTGTACAGGAATGTGGTGCTGTTCCTTCCTGTGCGAATCAGGAATGATTTGTATAGGAATGTGGTGCTGTTCCTGTGCGACTCGTGATTTGTACAGGAATGTGGTGCTGTTCTTGTGCGACTCACATGGGATTTGTACAGGAAATGGGTGTGGTGCTGTTCCTGTGCGACTCACATGGGATTTGTACAGGAATGTGGTGCGGTTTTCTGTGCGACTCACATGTGATTTCTACAGGAATGTGGTGCGGTTCCTGTGCGACTCGCATGGGATTTGCCACACTGTATATATGTGAACCCAAGCTGAGGGCCCAGTCACACTATATTCAGTTATAGACAGATTCAGAGTTCCCCTGCTGCTGGTCACATGTACAGGAGACATTGACCCTGAGAGGTCCTGATGGGTAGCGGCAGTCAGCACAGATGTCCCGCAGTGCAGCAGCACTGGTGCTAAGTCAGTCTGTAAGATTTCAGTCCCGTGATGCAGGTATCTTGGAGAGGCATGGTCAATACGGAGTGGGGTGAACGCTGTTTGCACCATATTGGAT